CTCGATGAGATTGACAGCCACATGAGTCCTATTCTAGCGGCCTATTGGAATGTTAATCAAGATGGAAATGTCGAGGAGGAAAATGACCCCAACGACGACTTTATTGACCAGAACATTCTCAGGGTCAAGAGCACCATCGAGCAATTAAGCACTCAATTCAGCACGCCGGTGGCAAAGATCAAAGAGTATATTGGACAAGGAAGACGAGCTTTAAGAAAGAGAAGGGAACTAGAACGCGTGCGCCCTGACCTCGATGACAAAATTGTTGTAGGCTGGAATGGCCTTGTGATATCAGCTCTTTCCAAGGCAGCATCGGCGCTGAAGACACTGAGGCCAGAACAAAGCTCCAAGTGTAGGGCTATCGCTGAGCAGGCAGCTGCATGCATTAGAGAAAGGCTTTGGGATGGCAATGAGAGAATTCTATACAGGATATGGTCTGGAGGTCGTGGAAACACTGGCTTTGCAGATGATTATGCCTATCTGATTCAAGGTCTCCTGGATCTTCTCGAACTAACCGGAAATCAAGAATATCTGGAATTTGCTGATATTTTGCAACGTGAGTCGTCGCAATTCCCCTCTCCATAAACACACTCCGCTGACCATGCCATCACAGAAACCCAAACCTCGTTGTTCTATGACGCCGATGGTGCCTTTTTCAGTACTCAAACCAATAGCCCTTATACAATCCTCCGCCTCAAGGATGGTATGGACACGTCATTACCATCGACCAACGCTGTCAGCGTAGCTAATCTATTCCGCCTTGCGAATCTGCATTCGAATGACGATTTGGCAGCCAAAGCTCGTCAGACGATAAATGCGTTTGAAGTCGAAGTGGTGCAACATCCTTGGCTCTTCCCTGGTTTACTCCAAGGTGTTGTGACAGCGAGATTGGGTGGAGAGACGTCGAAATGAAATGCTGAATACAAACAGCCCAGGATGGCGGCTCATAAAAGAATCTAAATACCTAGGAAATACAGGGCACGAGTTGTTGGAGTCGGCACAGTCATCCCAAGGCGTTCAATGGACAGGCGATATGAGGAAAAGAGGAGTTCTGAACAGCGCACAGCATTTTAGGAACTAGCCGATGAGTGAAATTGAATACAATTATAAACATAGACAGTAAGGTCTATGCTACCCTCCGTAAATGCGCGTAAGATATTTTCAAATTTATCATTTCAGGGGTATCTAATCTACATTGGCCACCGGCCCCCTCTCCAAATATTGGTCCATGACGCTCGCTCACTGAGCACAAAGGGTCGACAAATACAATATCTTGAAAAGAAAAGGGGATCGTCCATAATTCTTTGGGTGGGGCATCTGCTACTCCTTTCTCAAGATCTAGATGTATCTCCAGTGCCCTTGCGGTTCATCAAACCTGTAAAGAAGCTTTGCAGTTGCTCGTTATCAAAGTCCTTGGCCATGTTCGCAGCAGGTGTATCAGCCTCCTCCTCTTCGTTGCTTGGGGAAGAACTAAATGCATTACGATCCTGTCCATGTCAGCAACTTATTCGGAGTAGCGAAGTATTTATGTCTTACCTTGAGACGCTGCAACATATCATCAGCATCAACTTGGATACCACCCATGTTGAATTGTACAGGTCCAATGTGCTCGCTGATAGTCGTCTCATCGCCAGTGTAGTCGATGTGACGAGTGCTGCGAACAATGGCATTGTCGCTGCCCTTCTCTGGCAACTTTGCCTTGAATACCTCGAGAATCTTGAGCTGCTTCTCAAGGAATTCTTGGGTGTCGTCACTCTCCACCGTGATCCACCTCTCGCCGTGCATGGCATTCTCAACAACTGCGAGACCACCACTGTTAGGATCGCGGCACCATCCCTCGTATCGCGCAATCGCACTGTTTAGTTTCCTGATTTCTGCTTCTTTGTCGCTTATCTTGTCTGCATCATCAAAGGGCATAGAGTAGAGGTCAATGCCTAGATCTTGAGACCATGTGTTCGAAACAGGCTCCGGGTCAAAAGAACCGCCAAGAACCCGAATCTTGCTCCACGAATCCCAGTTCGTTGGAACGACAATCTTGTCGCGATCGATAACATTGTTCTTTAGTGGGTGACGCTTAAGAAGAGAGGTAATTCCAAGGGTTGAGTGAATGAGAGAGGGTAACTGAGAAGGTGCATTTTGTGAAGTGTAAATGAGAGAGGCACCATCTGGAGGTTGTTAGCATTAGACCAGAGGCTGGAAGCAGGCTAACGTACGTCTCAGCAAAATTGTTCGCAGATATTGTAATACTGTATCAAAGTCTGGCTCTTTCCAACCCTGGCTCTTTTCAAGAAACTCCATTTTTTGGGCCTGTATATGTTAGTATAGTTATCGTAGACCACAAGAGACATTCCTTACATTCTGGCACACTACGCAAAGTGGCAGACCCAGAGGCTCCTCCCATTCTCCTGGCCCCAGAGGCAGTGCACTATCTCCATCGCCGCCGGTAGCCGTAGCTGAAGGTGTTCCATCCAAGTTAGTTGTTGCGCCTCCTCGACCCCTTTCTTTCCAAGTTGACATGACTTCTTCCATGATGGCATGTTGTTCTGTGTCGACCTTTTTGAGAACTTCTTGTATAACCTGAACCCATGTCCATATTTGTCGTAGCCATAGATGCGGCTGTGACCAGTCGAGAAGAATGATAAGAGCAGTTTTGGGGATCGTTTCAGGAGTAAGGAGGGGCGCAACGAGAGATGCGAATTCGGCTGAAGGTTGGGAGAGGAAGTAGAGCGAAACTCGTGCAAGAGTATCTAAAGTTATTAGTACATCGTTCTAAGGCTGACCTGGGCGTTGATGCACGAACCGTCTTGGTCGGTGTCGAGAACGTCGTAGTATGTATAGCCTAGCGCAAAGTTGTTCGCAATCGGCGGTATCTTAAGCCGGTCCGCATTACGTTTTGGCTCGGAGCTGGAGAGCGATTCGAGGAACTCTCTTTGGTTCTCGGGAGTGCCACCTGAGTTTCAGAGGCTCATGATCAGCTACCTAGCTCTTAAACAGAGCTGTCTAGTTACGACATACCTAGCACAATGAGGTTCTTTTCCGGTAGTCGTTTGCCACTGGCGACAGACTCTAGCATAGACGTCCAAAGATCCTTCTTTTGTTCGCCATCGCGGCCTTCGGAGTCTCCTGAGCCCGTTGTATAGATCGATACTCTGTTGGTGTTGGCCGCCATGATCCCGGTTGTTGGCTCACCGAGCTCGCTGGTCAACAAACTGTCGTATAAGATCGCAGTGCGTTAGGTCATGAGTGTATCTCCTATGGCGAAAGAGGGCAGAGGCTGTCGGCAAGTCTGCCTCTGATCGACGTCTAAGTAGAGGTACAGTACGCGTTTTGGTGTTGATTCGATAATGCTAAAGGAGATTTAAGATTGCCGTAGGGGCATCTTCGCTCTGCGTATAACAACGACAGCAGGGAAGATGATGCAAGCTCTCGGCTCGATCGTGAGTATCCCAATCGTCGATAATCGGTTCGGAAAAGTCGCTTCAAATTCCTGGGCAGTTCGTGGTACGTAGATATCGTCGACCGCTGTCTTTCATCAAAGATGAACGTGGCCAGGGTCACCACGTACCAATTCCAATCGGTAGACAGACTATGGATTGGCACTTGGATAACACCCCGTCATTTTAGCGTTCGGTCCGGAAATTGTCCCGCCAAAAAGAGCTACGCGCTGCAGCTCTTGCAGCTTTAGCGCACGGACTCCCTAAAGCTTCAGTGGACGAACTTTACGTCTCATATTCTGATAATAAATGCGACTTCATTACTCTTTGCCATATATATTCTGCGACATTCACAAGGCTGCGCAAGAAGCAGCGCAAGACACACCATGAATAAAATACGCGCAATCCAGGCGCTGAATAAGAAAGAGATAGAAAATGGAATGTGAGTACTTGACTTCCTCTCCAGCATTTCCAGAATCCCTGCTAACAGATGTGCTCAGTACTCCAGAAGCTTCCTGGCATACAGACTATCGAGACACTGCCTACGTCTACTTTGGCGGTCTTCCTTACGAATTATCCGAAGGCGATGTAATAGCTATTTTCTCACAATTTGGGGAGCCCGTATTCTTAAAGCTGGCTCGCGACAAAGAGACTGGCAAGTCGAAGGGCTTTGGTTGGCTCAAGTATGAGGACCAGAGAAGTACCGACTTAGCGGTTGACAACCTTGGCGGAGCGGATATTGGTGGTCGCCTGATCAGTGTCGACCATGCGCGATACAAAGCGCGGGATGATGAAGACCCCGAAGAGTTCAAGGTCGGCTGGGAGGACATGCTCAGGCGAGAGGGACAAGCGTTATCAGAAGATGAGAGTAGCGAGGAGGAAGTGAAGCGGCCGATGCTACCAGAAGAGCGAGAACTTGCGCTTCTGATGCAGGACCATGATGACGACGACCCCATGAAGGGCTTCTTGATCGAAGAGAAGAAGAAGGAAGTTGAAGAGGCGCGGCGCAAAGCAGAAAAGAAGGATCGAAAACACAAACACAGACATCATCGGTCACATAGATCGAGGAGGGATGGAAGCGAAGAAGCCCGCCACCGTAGATCAAGACGAGACGAGACTCCCGAAGGCAAAGAGGACCGACATCGTGATAAGGATTCCCGACAACACAGAGATGACGACCAAGACCGAGAAAGGAGACGCGATAGGGACAGAGATAGGCGAAGGGAGAGAAAAGACGACGATGAAGACCGACATCGCGACCGAGATCGGAGGAGAGACCGCGATAGAGAGCACAGAAGGCATAGGGACGACGCCCATGAGGAGTCACGACACAAACGACGCAGGGAAGAAGACCAGGAGGAAAAAACCTCAAGGAGAAGGAGTAGAAGTCGATCGCCACGACGGCGCGACGATTAAAGCACATCATACTGTAAAACAATATTTCACTTGGTCCAAAGTAGCTCTACTTATCTTGAACCCCTCAAACGCCCATCCCAAGTTTGCCCAGCATTAAGAGTCGTATACCTTGTGATCATTAGCTTGCCTTGTAGCGTTGCCTAACTTGGCTCATGTGTTGCCCAAATAACGCTTCCAGCCTTCCCTTACGCAGTGTCGCTTTCCATCCTCACCATCAACAATAATGAACTTCTCCCATCGCGCATCATGCCCAGCACCTATAACAACAAGACTATCATCTCCGATCCAGCCAATGACGCCCTTTGGTGGCCGTGATGTTCCTAAAACAGTGCTCTCCGAGAAAGAAATGCCCCCTATAGCAGCTTCATCACCAGCCTCAAAAGGTGCTGAGCTGAAAGAGTAGACATCAGAAAAGACTCGAGGCATCAGTGGAATCTTGCTAAGGATACCCCACTTCCCAGTCCCGTCACCTGGGTCTGATCCAGAAGCGCCAAGCTGTTGACTTCGACTCATTCCTGGCTTCCGTGGATGCGGTACGTCGAAGATGTGAAGGGTGGACTTGTCAGAGGTACAGGCAAGCATCGTGCCACAAGGTGAGAAGGCAAGAGAAAAGATAGTCGCAGGGTCAATACCACGCCTAAGTTCAGCAAGCCTTGCACAGTTGCTTGTAGCGTAAACACGGATTAGTGTACCAGTTTCGCTGGCACTGGCTAGAAGTTCGCCATCTGGGCTTAATGCGATGGCCTTGAGGGCTGAAGAGTGGGCCGGGATGATGCTGACATTCCCGGTCGCCAACTCGATGAGTTGTATCTGTCCAGCAGTTCGGCCAGGGAAGGCAAGCTTCTTCTCAGAAAGACAGCAGAGACCGAGGAGATTGTCTGCAGTTTCGTAGACATGCAGTAAATCCGGAGGTTTGGCGAACGAGTAGACGCGCACGCTATTTTGTAGGACAACAGCGATGCGCTCCCTACCCAGTTGGACGCCACGAATTGCCGTCAATGCTGTGATTTCCAAGGCAACTTTGCCCTTCATATCGTCCCATATTATAGCCTATTCCCGGTAAGCGAAGAGCTCGACAGCTGACCATGATAGCTTACCTTGTTCATGGCAAACTTGGGTGACCTTCCGCCACCAACAAGAGCAAGGTAGTTGGTTGTTCCCATCATTTGCACGAGGCCGATGCCAGCGTTGAAATCTATGAGGCTGTAAGCATGTGCGTGTATAAACTTTATATGATGGGCATACCTCTCGAAGCCTTGAGAAGACATGATTTTGTGTGGAAGACTGAGCCGAGTGTTAGTGAAGGGAAGCACATAGTAGTGTAGAAGTTGACTTACTGCAGATACCTGAGCCTAGGCCTACAGAAAAGCAGCTTGCATCGTTATTGAAAGATACTGAAAGTACAGCCTCAGTGCTCGAAGCCTCGATCGGTGGCCGTACGTTCATCGTGAATGAGTTGATATGTACAAGTTTAGTCTAGGCCTACAATACGGCTCTAGTGTTTCCGTTGCGAGAGCTGAGAGGGGTAAGTCAAAGCTGAGGTGAACGTGATAGTTGATGATGATGTCGAGAAACAAGTTTCGAGCAATAATGATTGGTTGATGAAGTTTACCAGGGAATGTTACCATGAAACGAATAACATCTCGAAGGCTCCGAAACCTTATGTGCTTATTATGTAGGTTTATTTGATGTCGCTTATAGATCCACCACTGATGAGTGAGCCTGCCTGTACTTGCGTGACGGAGGCTTGATTTAGACTGCGGAGAGGCTTTATGAGAAATAAGTTTGTGTTATAAAGCTATGAATGAACAGGAAATTCCACAATAACAACGGTAATAACGAGTCTTGTATCCAAAAACGGGAGCACAGACAAAAGGGAGCGTTCGATGTTCAACTCTTGTTTGTCTACTATGTCTCATCCACTGGACAACTCGAACCGCGTCACGGTACCTAACAGCCACAGTCCTGACATTCAGCCACTGATACTAACAATGGATTGTGGCGCAACTTAAGAACAGATTCTTCGAAGACTAGGCTTTAAGTTAAGGGAGGAAAATAGAGCATATAATCTGATCCAAGAAACCTCACAAGTATATCATAGAAAATGTAAAGCCTATCTGAATTATTCAGGATGAGTCCCTACCTGAGTTTTCTACTATTGCCGAGAGATTCGAACAGATAGAAGAATGATATCACGTGATGAAACAAAAGAACGAGCTCTGATTGAAGCAAGCGCCACAGCAATGGAAGGCTCGTTGAGGGTCCGCTAGTGGTCCCTTGGGCGGGAAGGCGGTCTGGCTTTACAGGGTGCTGAGGTGCAATGGAAGTGTGGATTTCGTAGCGGTAGGGGTGCACCTGCTTTGCTCCAGCTGGCATTTGTTAGCACTGGCACTCTAGCTTAGGCACTTCCCCTGAATCTTAGAGGAGGAACGATTGGCCAGGTGTGAAATTGCCCATACCCCTTGAGCAACCCGACCCAAGTCCAACACGACCCGTATCCTTCTCTCCTCCTAGCCTCCTTTAACATTTTCCCCTTGGTTCAGTTCAGGTTCCTCAAGTTTCCACTTCAACCACCGCAAGCAAAACCATACTCGATTTGAGTCCTTGCTCGACGTTTGGTGCATTCGACCTATTCCTTCCGTATCTCCTCAGCTTCGCGAATCCAATCTTCAAGATGTCGTCCATGGGCGTATGTGCTATCTCCCCTCCGGTCCTGTCCTATCGTGTGGATGCCACCGCCGTTGAAGCTACCGTTTCCACGCATGATTCCATGGACCAAAACTTTCACGCGCCTGCCATTTAGACCTCAGCTCGCTAACCCCTACTCCCCAATAGAAGATGATCCGTCGAAAGAAGAATGTCAAGAAGGGTATTCAGTTCTGCCTGATGGTCTGCGGTGCTTCAGGCACTGGTACGTGGCCCCTTGCGAGAACCGCTGCTACGACAGCTGCAATGGCCTCGCTGCGATTGAAATAATAAACCAAGCTTACACTCGACAGGCCGAACCACCTTTGTCAACACACTCTGCGGAAAGAGCGTTCTCGATCATAAGGAGTCCGATGATGCTGGTAGCGCCCACGTTGAGGATGGTGTCAAGATCAAGCCCATCACTGTCGGTACGTACATTCAATTATGGTTGCAAGCATACACGATATTAATTGGGCCATAGAGCTCGAGCTTGACGAGGAGGGTACTCGCATCTCCCTGACAATTGTCGATACCCCCGGCTTCGGTGACCAGATTGACAACGAGGCTAGGTAAGCTAGTATCGCGGTCCATGTTTTTACCCCTCTACTAACCCAATACCAGCTTCTCCGAGATCGTTGGCTACCTCGAGAGACAATATGATGATATTCTTGCCGAGGAGTCTCGTATCAAGCGTAACCCCCGCTTCAGAGACAACCGAGTCCATGCTATGCTTTACTTTATCACTCCCACTGGTCATGGGTATGTTTTATAAGCTCCAAATCCTTGGAACGCGACTGACATTTGCAGCCTCCGAGAACTCGACATCGAGCTCATGAAGCGCCTCGCTCCCCGTGTCAACGTTATCCCTGTCATTGGCCGCGCCGATTCGCTCACCCCCGCCGAGCTCGCCGAGTCCAAGAAGCTGGTTATGGAGGACATCGAGCATTACCGCATTCCCGTCTACAACTTCCCCTACGACATTGAGGAGGACGATGAGGATACCGTTGAGGAGAACGCTGAGCTCCGTGGCCTTATGCCTTTCGCCATCGTTGGATCTGAGGAGGTTGTTGAGATTGGTGGCCGCAAGGTTCGCGCTCGTCACTACCCCTGGGGTGTTGTCGAGGTTGATAACCCTCGTCACTCCGACTTCCTTGCCATTCGATCTGCCCTGCTTCACAGCCACTTGGCTGATTTGAAGGAAATCACCCACGACTTCTTGTACGAGAACTACCGTACCGAGAAGCTGTCTAAGAGCGTCGAGGGTGCTTCTGGAAAGTGAGTTTTGACCGAAATCTCGGATATTGACCACAGCTGACTGACCTGTTTTTAGTGCTGATAGCTCAATGAACCCCGAGGATCTTGCCTCCCAGTCAGTGCGCCTCAAGGAAGAGCAGCTCCGACGAGAGGAGGAGAAGCTCCGCGAGATCGAACTCAAGGTGCAGCGCGAGATCAACGAAAAGCGACAAGAGCTGTTGGCCCGCGAGTCCCAGCTCCGAGAGATCGAGGCCCGCATGCAACGAGAGGCTGCTTCTCAGCAGGCTACTGGCACACCCGAGCCCAATGGCGAGGAGCCACTTAACTAGACCTATCACTTCACATTTTAGGTCTTTTGCGGCGTTTCAAAAATGCGACGTTGGACTATTGTCTATTGCTGGCGTTGGTTTTTCCTCTCCCACGACTGAAGAGAAAGATGAGAATATTCCCCCTGCTGCTGAACAATTGAGTTGTCGTTTTCTTTTTTCTTCGCCGCCCTCCTTCACTCATCAAACTTCTGCTATTCTTAAAACGATTCTGGGCATGCCATCTGGAAACGGTTTCCCTGGAAAACTGATGGTGGGCGGCTACCCATTGTTTAGAAGCATTCTCAAGGGAGGGTCATTATGTATCTCGCTGTTGTAGGGACGCAGCGTGCGGGGAGTGTCTTAAAGGGATGAAGACGCCCTTGCGCTACGATACGATGCATGCAGACGACTGGCGGATAGGACATATTGCCGTGTCCTGGTGCCATCTTGTGGTCATATTAGACTTGTATTGGGCGTACATCGTTGTCCATTCTTGGGCGACACAACCTTGATTGTTTCTTTTTTCTAGTGGCCTTCTAATGCTGATATCAAATAAATTCAATATTTTTTGTAATACGATTGATGATCATTGAAACACTTGCTAAATCTTGTTACTTGGAAATACGCATAATGTCAAGGTTTGTGATGATGACTATCAATTATCCTGTCCTGAATATAAGCTGCTTAGACAGCCCGATCAACGTGCAATAAGGGTAACCAAACTTTCTCCAGAAACGCCAAAAATCCATAGTTCGACTGGGGAAACCCTCCGTAACACAACAATTAAGATAGCTCTTGAATCAGACACAACTCGCATGACACAATCTTGGTAGCACAGTGATGGAAGTTAAGAACCGAGTCATCGGTTCACAGGTCTCGTGTCTACGCCTCGTTAAACTTTTACAGGTCGGTATCGCTTAGTTATTAGACTGGCTGTTGAGAATGCGCAGAATAGCAAGGAAGAGGTTGATGATGTCAAGGTAGAGGCTGATGGCAGCAGCAATCTCCTCCTCGACATGGTGGTGGCGAAGGACAAGCTGGGTGTCGACGAGGATGTAGCCACTGAAAATGAGAGCAGCAAAGCCACCGTAGATGAGCTCGCCGGTAGAGCTGTAAGGGAAGAACATGGCCATGAAGCTGAAGATAACGAGACCCCACAGGGCACCGAAGAGGTAAGGCATCCATGATGTGAAGTCGTACTTTGTTTGGCAAGCGAAGAGAGTGAGGAAAACAAAGATTCCGGCAGTAAGTACGACAGCGTTAAGAACGATGGATGTCTTGTAGAACGATACGATGACAGAGATGGTGTAGGCTTCGGCGAGAGTGAAGAGCGAGAGGAAAAGAAGGTTAGTCGGGTAAGACTTGCGCTTCCAGTAGGTCAAGCCCATGAAGATCATGGCACCAAAGAGCTGTGAATGCGTTAGTCATTTCATGTTCATGATCCCGCTGCTCAGTGAGAACTTACCGAAGCCCAAACGACACCGGGGTGGCTCTGGATCCAGTCCTTGTAGCCGGTGCTAAAGAATGTGAGGCTGCTCACTCCAGCAGTTGCGAGGAGCTGGACAGTGAGGATGGTGTAGACCTTGCGAACGAACTGGTTGCGGATATCAACAGTAGCCTCAGCCACAGAGCCGCCGAACTGGACATCATCATGTCAGCATTTCCTTATTCGCCTTGCATCGAGCACATCTATTCCTACCTTGAAATCATCGGGGAGGTTGTCCTCGCTATCGCGGGGCGCACCAAAGAGGCCTTGGGTCTCATCGCGAGCAGCCGAACCCTCAGCGTAGGCGGGGGGCGCGTGGGTATAGTCGTCGGGATCGCTCTGAGGAGCTGGCTGGTACTTGGTGTTGGAAGCCATCTCGGCGTACGTAGCGAGAAGTCCTTCGATTGTTTGCAGTTTGGCTTGAGTTGCTTGAAAGAGAGGAAAGGTCGTACGAGGGACGTGTCTTAACTTGGTAGGGTTGGTTTTCGAGGTTAAAATGGTTAAAGTGATGGAAAGTTCGGGTCACTTCATCGATGATGCGAGGCCCATAGGGAAGCGCTCGGGGAGGTCATGTGGGGGACAGAATGGGGAAAGTGTGGCGTTTTAGGCAGCTCGGGAACGGGTGGCGGTGCAAACTATGGCGTCAGCAATCCACTTTAGCTACAGCTCCACGTGAGTGATATCAACAGACCTTGATCTACAAGTAAGTG